GACAACGCTGACAATTACTGATTACTGCCATGATATAAAGAAAGTGTCGGCCAGACTACTTGAATTCTCACTAGTAATGAAATCTACTAAAACCGTAACTGCGTCATATATTCGCTTGAACTTGATATATCCGCTATATATAGCTTACTCCTTCTTTCAGCTTCGGTAATTGATGTGCTCGTCATTTGCCTATCTTGTGTTTGTAAAGGCAATCCTTCATTTTCCAAAGAAATCTGCACAGATGTTGATATCTGAATTACTTCGGTTTACTTGCAGTAACCTACCAAGTCCCCATGGTACAACTTCTGCATTTTTGATCGTTTCTCGGTTTTCAAGGGCGTTTTACCCATCTCCACGATTGCATAGCAACTTTTTCCAATATTCTCTAAGTTTGAACAGAACTCCCAATTTTCGTGACTGTCTGACAAGAATTTGTGTGAAAATAATTACCACATAGCGATTGTGAGTTGACCGAAGTTTTCTTAACCTAATGATTGTCATCATTAAATTAAGAAAACTTCGGTTAACTCACTATTCAGAAAAAATGCTTTTCTTTTTCCTTTGTGCCGATGTCGAAGACGATGGGAGCATCCCTTGGAGATTTCTATCATACATAAGAATAGCCTAAGGCTTTTTTGGACGGAAAAAATTAAGGCACTTGTAGTTTTTGATTCAAAATGCGAAAAAAATTATGAGCAAAAAAATTTGCTCGAGGATCAGGCGCCTAGGCGTTTGAACTCACGATGCGCTAAGTTATATGCAATCCAGAAAAATTTCAGAATTTAAGATAAAAAGTGGCTTTCGTGCCGTACTGGGAAGAAATTTCTGCATCAAACTACAAATATCCGCCAGTCTATTTACAAGTCATATTTTCTGTAGTCACATCAAAGATCTGAGGCTGCCACTGTTACAACTGCATTTGTCGCCGTACCTTTCGTTAATGGAAAAAAATAACATTTTCGAAAGAAAACTTTCCATGCCAACAAATTTGATCACAGCTATGCTTTTCTTTGATGTACAACTCATTCCTTGGTAGAATTACTGATAGTGAGACATTTTCTAAAGTCATTCGCCATTCATCAGCCGTAAGCTTGCTTGCAATTCCAGGATCAAATTTAAAAAAGGCAAATAAAAAGCGCAAGCTAACATTTCCAGTTATTTTTTTCCCCCCAAAAAAAAAGAAATAGTCTAGATTGCATGATTGTATTGTTAACAATTCAATATGAGATTTCTTGCCCACGATCGTTTCTATGTTAAATCACTTACTCTTCCAATTCTCAGCTGTAGATTAACCTAAAATTTGGGAATTCTAGAATGGTCCATTACAAGCTCACCTACTTTGATGCTCGTGGAGCGGCAGAGGTTATCCGTCAGGTGAACTGTCTTTATTATGCTAAAGAGAACATCACATTCTACTGTATGCTATTGAATCCTGGCAAATTAAGATATTTGCCCTTGCCGACCAAGAATTCGAGGATGTCCGAATTCCACGGGAAGATTGGCCAAGTCATAAATCAGGTCAGACTTGGCCAATAATTGCTAGCCAGTTTATATTTCTTCACTTTCAGAGATGCCATTTGGTCAAATGCCTGTCCTTGAAATTGACGGCCAACAACTTGCACAGTCTTTCGCCATCGCCCGATTCCTTGCAAAGAAGTTTGGTGAGCGCTAATAACATGGACCTGATCCAAATTTGAGTTTACTTTTATTTAAGGGCTTACTCCCAAATGTCCTTTCGAGGAGGCACTCGTCGACTCAATTATGGACCAGTTTAAGGATTTCGGAAGCGAAGCTCGTCCGGTATACATGGTCCTTGCAGGATTAGCAGAAGGAGATATAGTAAGTCTAAGGAACAAAGTCATTCTGTAGAAAAGTTACAGAACTGCATA